GCACTGCGAGGGTGCAAGCAATTTTGACTAAAATCGATTAAAATTGCATTTTAAGTTATAATCAATCTTCGGGAAACGCATAAAATTTAAAATTTCAGTTTGATTTTTGTGAAACAGGGCCCAGGCTTACACAGGTTTAGGGGAAGCGAAGGCCGGTGATTTGCTATAGATCTCAGCCTCCATTGAGGGCTAGTCAAAGGTCCCCCTTTGATTATTTCTGGTATTCACTTAGATAATTTGCCCCCCCCCCCCGAGACGTATCGCCCTGCCATATGCCCCCCTCAGACCCCGATTCCACCCCCTATGTAAGGGCCCTGTCTGACAAGGAACAGTGTCTAGTTATTCAGATGGTGCGAAAACCCGAGGTCCCGTATTAACATTGACGTGCAAGTAAAAGGACCCTTGAGAGTTGGAATTTGAAATACAACGTGAAGAGTCCGTTTTTTACAAGATCAGGCATTTAACGGTAGTCTTATGTTTCTAACGAGCAAAATCACCTTTTCAAACCTCTATTAGAAAGTGCAGGAGGGCCGCACTACATGCGAAACAAAATCTATAAGATATGGTTTGTCTTTTTTGATAGGGCTGCTGGAAGTAACATGGTCAACACATGCAAAAATGAAAAATTACCTAAATCTGGTCTTCATATGCAAATAATTCTGTGAGAAAATATTTGTAGATGACTTCTGGCGCAGCCCATAAGTGGCAATCAAAAACGCAACATTTTAAATTCATACACATATTCCCAGGGCTACTGCAGCCTGCGTCATGCGTCATCCAAAGTGTTTTACGCACGATATGCCAGAGGAGTACCCCTACTTACATTCGGGCACAAGTCACAACAAGTAAGAGTATAGACAGTAGCGGATTATCAGTGAGGCTGATGAGGCTGCAGCCTCAGGCCCAAAGATTTTGTAAAAAAAAAATTTTTTGACTTGTCTGATACGATTAAAAACGCATAGACAATGAATGTTAGGGGGTGGGGTTTAGGCCCAACGGGAATCAACATAGGCCCTCACCCGAAATTAATTAAGCCCACGCCATTTTAAATAGGCCCTATTGTTTGGAGATCTGATCTTATTTTTTAAACGTAGGCCTACAATGTACGTTAAATCCTTGTAAGTTTTCGGTTATGTCTTGCTTAATATATTGTATCCACGTGACGTCATTTATGGGCATATAAAGTTACATTACCAATATCAAACGACTTTGGCTTAAGAAAAAATATCTAGCAAAAGATTTTGCGCTAGTTTCGATGTAAACACCCCATCATGAGGAAATATTATCCTTGAAAAAAGGTGTATGTACAGTTGGTTTCCGGTGATGTTTTGCTGTCAAAGCATTTTGTACGACAAATTTCAATAGTTATAACTAATATTTTAATAATATTATAACCTCAGTAACGAATCCCGTTTTTAATGTTAGCGACTACCTTTGCTCTAACTCTAAAAACTAAATAGGCCCTCCAGCAACTGCCGCCTCAGGCCTTGGTGGAGCTTAATCAGCCACTGAGTATAGAGGACACTTTTTACATCAAAAAAGTGAAATTTTCGCCTATTCACAAAGTGTCGAATCTTGTGAAAGAAACTAAGTGATTTATTCCCATATGCATATCTATTATAAGTGGTACGAAGACCTTTGTGGACTTTTGCTGTTTTATTCGTTTTCTCCCCATTTTTTTGTCGACCAATATTAGACGATGTGAAAAAAATCATCAATTCTGAAACAACTCCCATCTTAACGAAACCTGTAGTAGAGGCACATTACTCGGTGAAAAAGACGAGTGGATATTTCACTTTTTCGATGTAAAAAGCGCTCTCTATACTTGTGCGCACAAATTGACAGAAAGGTATCATGGCCTGGAAGTCTTGGAACAGTAGTCTTAAGTCCGGCCCATACCGGTACGACTACACACAAGCCGACAGGACCACCCGATTAGATTTTATTACATACTTCGAGAAGGTATTTGTTGAGTAATAAAACCTTCTAGTAGTTTATCGGGGGCTGGCCGTCCACACGGTACAAATATTATCACCACTAGAAGCAACAAATTCCAGAACAAGCCAGAACTCATACCAAAATGGCCGCTTTATACAAATGAGTATTTAGGGGAATACTAACCCGAACCCTAACCCTAACCCTTTTAAGAGAAGTAAAAACTAAATTAGACCCAAGTTCAATCTTTTAAAAAGGGTTAGGTTAGGGTTCGGGTTAGTTATCCCCAAAATTCTCATTTATATAAAGCGGCCATTTTGGACTCCGGAAGCACCCGAACTTCGATAAACTGCTAGAAGGTTTTATTTGTACCGTGCGGTAAGGACGGCCAGCCCTCGATAAACTACTAGAAGGTTTTATTACTCAACAAATACCTTCTCGAAGTATGTAATAAAATCTAATCGGGTGACAGGACTCAGCGTCTTGGGTAGTTGTAAAAAATAAATCGGGTCGCGCCTTTACTTCACTTGCCTACGACGGTACCAGTCCACACAGGCCCGACTCTCACAGATTATGCGTCGTGAGTTAACGCCACTTCCCTCTAGCGAGTGATTCCAAAAGTAAACCGGAAGCATAAAAGTGACATTATATTTTGCCAAGATGCCAACTGCATCCGACTACGATTGAACGTTCAATCGGGCCGACGGGCCACGACGCCACGGAAATCAATTGAATCGTGGTCGTGGGACTGTCCACACTGCACTGATTATCTGAGACAAGACGTTGCGTTGGGTAGAGTCTGGGCAAGTCATGGCTGTATGGGCCGGGCTTAACATTCAAGGTGTTTACTTGGATTAGATCAAAATAGCATGCAGTTGGTGTCAAGACTAGTCGTATGCCTTCCCGTTTCTAAAATGTTAGATCAGTCATTTTATTAACACACTCTGTCTAGTACCATAATTCTTAATATGGATATAATACTGCTGTTTTAAGTATTTTAAATTTTATAGCATTGTCAAGTGTGTGAGACTTTATCAACTTTCGTAAAATTTGAAATGTACTTGATTTATATGACAGATTTTAAACCAATTTGAAAATCAACTAACAAATGAAGTAAGCTCCTTAATGCTTTGATTAAGTGTATGTTTTTAACACGACAGAAAGCCATGACTATATCCATTAACTATTGATTGCCTTGCGTTCCTTAGGCAACCCAATTGTAAAATGGTATAATAACTGTACGCCTATACGATTCTTGTGGACTTTCTATAGAATATATCGGGTACAATTATAACTATTCGTAATGGCTGTCAATCTGTTATTGCGAATCCCCCATTAACTTGAAATGTTTGACAGGATAGACCCCCAACAAAACGAACAATTCTCTTTGAAACGATTAGAATGTGTTACTATACATGTTCTCCTAACAACAAATTAATTTGTGACTAGAATATATATATATAGATATATATTTATATATATATATCTGTGCAGATAATTCATCCTTTCTCTCTAATATTATATCACATTGTTCTGCGTTTCTATTTTTTAAAAGAAAGTATAAAACCCAATCGCGTGTGATTTTTAGCGGATATTTTACTTTCAAGTCGATGAGTATGGTGGACACCAATGCACAGTGAACGTAAACGTAGCCAGCAGTTCAGAAAAGCTTCTGTGTCATAAACTATAATGGACACCGCCATTTGGACGCATACTTTTACAGATTTTAAACATTGAAATTCTTGGAAGATAAATGGCGAATCTACATTTGGGACTGTTAAAAAGCACTCTGCAATTAGTTACACAAAATGTTTCCAGGAGGAATGGGAGCTCTATGCCAACTCAAGCCAACTTGTCTTGCGCATAAACACTTAGATGTAAGGAATGCCTGGCTTCCTAATCCGTGACACAGTATATGTTATTTTGCATCGCTACATTTATTAGAAAGCAGGTTGCCTTTCACGCGCTGTAGAAACAATGAAACTGTTTCACGCGCGTTAGTACTGGACAGAGAGGCCCTTCCACTAACTTTAGGGGCTCATTTCGAAAACTCGGGGGCCCATTAACTCGGGGGTTATGCGTGAGGTGGGTCCATATAAAACGTTCTACCCGGATTTAGCGTCTTCTTCCCGCGCCTCGTCCTCTAGCCATTATGATGAAAGAACAGTCACCGATTCTGTGATGCAATTTGTACCTTAATATTATTATGGGATGAAATTGGGACAAAATATTATTTTATTGTTTGTAAACATTTTTTACTAAATGTGTTTCTTACCATAGAACATAATATGGAATGGGCCATTCCTAAAGCACTATTTCACTGACACTTAGCCGACATTATTATTAAATGTATATCAACCGAAGGAAGAGCAACAGTGATTCCCATAAATGTAAATGTAGCAAATGCTTGAACAACTCCACACCAATATGTCACAAGATGAGCCTGTCAACAACATATACCACGCATATTGGTCATAGCGCACCCTTGTACAGAAACTAAGTAAAATTATTCAACTTTATTTCTTTAGCAAAAGGGCACAAGTTCTATAATAGGCTGATGTGTGTACAAAGTTTCATAAAAAAATATCTTGTGTGTTTCCTAAGACAGTTGGGTGTGTCCTGAGGTTGTGACAAGTAGTGACTCCTCCGCCTAAGCTCGTAAATTTTCCCAGAATATTCTCGTTTCTTCACACGTCTTAAACAAACTGGTTGCACGTCAACTGTTGACATAAAAATATACCATGTTATTTCCGAATTGACCTAATGTTGAGTACAAGTTATACCCTCTCTCCGGCAGATAAAAAAAACCCTAATATCGGTTTTGGTATAGTATTGTTAACACTTTTATTGGCAATAAGGAATACAAATTAAGAAATAGAATACAATTAACTAAAACTAAAATATATCACAATGCTTTATTTGATGAATGTATCTTACTCCTAATACAGGCGTTATCAAAACCCCTTTGATATACCATGGACTATATCTCTTTATTCTGATGGTTATGCCGAATGTTGAATCAATGTTCAGATGTGCGCGGAGTTATCAGAAGTTCTTCTATCATTGTTTCGTTTTTGACGTCGATTATTTAACTATTCAAATAAAATTCCTTATCATCTCAGTCCCGGCTTAAGACTAAAGATACCACCTTGCTCCTCACCCCACTTTAAAAGCATAACACTCTACACTTTGAATTTATCAAATCAAAACGATTCAAAGTTCTTTAAAGATTGACCCCTATTCAAAATCAAGGACGTGGGGTTTCGTAACATTTATGTACAATAGTTTTTGAATACATATTTTTTTAATTTTAAATTTTCTAGTTATTTAGTTTAATGTGTTGTTGTTGTCAAGAAATAGTTCATGCTGGTGATGTCGAGCCTCCTTTCTTTAAATCCACTATAATAAGGATTCCACTGACAAATGCCAGTATCAAAGCAATGATAGCCAGAATAAGTGAGTATCCAACAGGCCGTAGGTTTATAGTAAATACAGTATAAACGACCGAAAAGTAGTAAGCAAAGATGATGACAGCTATGAGGTAACACACAGCTGAAATACAAAAGAAGAAAGTCATTGATTTTAAATGGTACATGAAGTGATTGTCCCCAGTCAAACTTTTTTTTTAACATCCAAACGAGACCTGTATTATGAGGTTCGCCATCCAATCAACCGGTAATTACTTTGAATGCGCTGGATTTAAAACTGATCCCACTGACTAATCTAAGCCGGATATCATGTGCTTTGAGAATCCAATGGAATTTGTCGTATCAAGAAATTATGGTTCAACACACCTGACAAATTGCCAATGTAAATTACGTATTTTGGTGATACGACTATCCTTATTTTGGTGTGGGGGGGGGGGGGGTAGTGCGTGCGCGCTGTATTATAAGGTCTGTCATCTGTCATTGAATCAACTGGCGTGGTTTCGATTTCCCGGTTGTACGTGACAAGGGGTAGGCTAGCCTGTCAAACCTCGTGGGTTTTCTTCGGGTCCCCGGTTTCCTACCACTGCTAAAGACTCCTACGCGCCAGCGAATATTATTGAAATAAAATTGAACCATATATGTCAGTCCCGAAATGACCTAGTTTGTGTCGAGTGGACGTTAAACCCCCCCCCCCTCTCTCTCTCTCTCTCTCTCTCTTTCTCTCTCTTAATTTTTTGGATACGACTGTCCATATTTTGATGGATGCGACTCTATAAACAACAAAAGCTAAACTTTACATTAATTTGTAGTTGGTATGTTTAAGCCAAAGCAAATACATTTTCATCAACCTAAAATGATATAACTGACACTGTAAGATTGTTAGAAACTTAACTGACATTGAAACATAATTGTTTTACGTTAATGTTACTGCCATTCTTAAAATACCAATTATTGTGTCAATAATTTATGATAATGCAGTGATTTAAAGACACCTAAAAGAAATAGCTGAAATGATCCACCTTCATTCTTCCCCTGTTTGTGTGCAAACATTTTTCACTAATTTAATGTGTTTCTTACCCGCAACAAGGCAGAGGATGGCAGAGGCCATTCCAGCATCACCATTTCCCTTGCATTTTGACGTAAACATCATTAGAACAACCAAGAGAAAAGCAACATTGATTCCTACAAATGCAAATATAGCAAATGCTTGAACAGCACCATACCAATCTGTAAAGAAATAATTTCAGAAATTGTATCACTAAACATCATCCTGTTTATTCCAGTTCAGACCTAATATTAAAATGTAGATCTAAATTCTATATTAAAATGAGACACATGTAACTGAATTTAATAAGATTGCTGCAAAATCCGGAGGTACTTCATTGCTTCGGATCGAGTTTTCGGTGGAATTTTCTGCGCTTGGCGGAATGGCTCCATTGTTTTTAAATATAATATATTTAACTCCGCTTCAACCCCGAAAGCATGAGGAGGAGATCGTTCTTTATGTAATTTTTAAAGCTTTTGCTCATTTTGGGTACGCGCTTGGCAACCAGTAGGCGTATTCTATAATCAAATCCCAATCAATGGTTTCTATAACAGTATTAATGTTAGCAAGATAAATATCCGAGATAAGAAGCTCCAACGAGTAGATATAATAAATCATTACACATTCTGATAATGTCTCAATTTGTTTATTATCTTCAATGACCATATTGGCGTCCACAGATTTTTTATGTGCTACAGAGTTGGTTAAAAAGACCACAAATATGATTTCTAAATAAAAGCCTCCCTGTGGTTGATCGGTCAACTCGATTAACAGATTCCAGAAGAGACGTCAAAATTGAAAATCAATTACGGTTGTTATTAACAACAGCTATAATACAAAGAAGATTTAGGCGCTCTGGTAATTCATTTATGACGAATATTGGTTATATGCCTAAGAATGTCTCATTGCCAGGATATCAATGCGAGATTATTGGAGGATGCAACCAATCCATTGCCTATTTTTGATTAATTTTGCTTATAATTTAAGCGACAGTTCATCCTGGCATTTGCCAGAATATCACATATGCAAAATCTGGGGACAGCGATATTTAAAGTTACCCTAAATTATAAAAAGCAGGCTATTTTTTCAAGGGTGTTTAACGAAAACTGTACCGGAGTATCAATTTGGTTTTTCTTATTACAATAAATAAATAAATATTTACGTCCGAATTCACATTTCATTAGTGTCTTGCACAGTGCTTCCGAAACGCCTTCCTGATATTTAATTTTAACGATTTGGGCGCACACTACCGATGACGTGACAGCTCTAGTGCAGTTCGAATATATCAAAATATATAAATAAGTTGTCTACATGTAAATATATTATAGAAAAACGCCCGACAAAGCAGTCAACGTCTGTCAAAATACTCTGACCTCATAAAAATCAGGTATGCACGGATCTCACAAACATAAATAAATTTTCACTTAAACATTTAGAAAATAAAAGGACCTTGTACACATCTATATATCTTATTGTTCTAGTAAAGTTGAGGTCGTTTACTACAAATTCAATTTTCTCAATTAATGTTTCAATAACTTAAAGACTGAAATGCGCACACCCGAGCATTTGCCACAAAAACAATTTTGACGTTTTTGAACTCCAAATAATAATCCCCAGCATATTGACCAAAACTTTTAATAATTATCATGCAATATAAAATTATTCGTCCACCCAATGATTCTGAGCAATTAATTTGCATGGAAAACAGAAGTTGCAACAATTACTGTATTGTAAAGTGTTATTCTGGGATTTTTATTTTTAGAACAAAAGGCGCATGAGAACTCAGGCAATTGTAATTGTGCAAATTCCATAAACAATATATTGAATTTTATCAGTGACGTAATAGCATAAGGTGGCTGAATATTTAGTAAAACTTCGAGTAAAAAGATCAAATGCATTTTGAATTTTTACTTTTTAACCACTTTCAGCATAATATTATTACAGTTTAATATTTCCATGAAACATTCATTTATTTTTAGAAGAAAATGCATATTATACATACCAAGAGCCCATCCATCAAGTTGATTACAGCCTGCATTACTAAGAGTATTTCCACAAATTCTCCATAAACCCCATCCATTAAATATATTAAGGTTGTAATCGTTTACAGAGGCATAATTTTTACCCCATTCTGCTGTACAAAATGCTATCCAGTTACAGAAGTTTGCAACCAGAAGCACTATTAAGTTAACTTTACCCAAGATACTCGACCCTGAAAAATCGTCCTTAACGCCCATGTTATAGCAGTATTTGGTACTAAGAATGTGAAGACGGCAATATCAAACGCTGACTGATAAGGGTGACAAAACTCCACCAATAGATATAGTAATAAATAATTTTGTTGTCATAATATAGTACTAAGTTTATAGTTACCGATACAATTACACTATTTAATGTGAATCGTTCCCTGTGCTTTCTCCAATTCTTCAGCAAGGCCAACAATTTTTTTTTTCAAAATAATACAAGTAAAATAGCATATTTTTCATCAGGTCAAACATTTTATTCTATTTTATTTTATTTTCTCGCAAAATATTTCCAGAAAACGAGCAAATTTAGAGAATGAAAATTCTATTCAAAATTATAAATGAAATGGGGTTTAACGGCCTATTATAGTGTTCTGCTCAGACTGGGCGAATGAAGACAGCTCAAATTAATAAATTTGAGGGCATGTTTTTTAAACTGTCAAGTCAAAATCTAAACAAAAATAAATCAAAATAATGAAGTAATAATTTAAATATTTTACTTATCATGAAATAAGAAATTTGAAATTGTTAAACTAATATTTCCAAAACATTCAATATTGCTTTTGGTTCAGTGGATGATTTTCTCTGATGGCTTACAATATCTGTATTTGTCTGGCATGTACCACATGATAAAATCTCCAATTGAGTAATTTTTGTAGAAGTGTGATCAGTAAACCAATAAATAAGATAAATCGCCTAATGCTTTGATCGCGTGTTTTTCATGACACAATTACAGGAATAAATCCATACAATATTGCTTCGCGCTCTATATAGACAACCCTATTGTAAATGTGTCATAATGAATGATTTTTTTCCCGCCTCTAGATACGTTGTTTTCATGGATTTTCTATAGAAAATGGCGGATAATAGCTCGTCGGGTTGTGGATCGCTCAATAACTGGACAACGTTTGGCAAGATATCAAGAAAAGGGGATTGATTCCGACTGAAACGATTAGACTATATTACTACGTGTTCTCCGAACAACAAATTTGATTTGTGACTAGAAAATTTAAATAATTTGTGTCCGATATTTTATTCTCTAATATTATATCACATTAATTGCGTTTCATATCTTTTTTGTATTGCCCAAAAAACAATCGATAGTGATTTTAGCCTGTTATTTAGCAGTCGCTGCATACACGGTGCCACTAAAAACCGACAAGAGCGGGGGTTTTTGTCAATAGCGCCCAAAGTTCTGCAGAAAGTGACCGACAATGAAAGATATGTTTTATATATTCTACACATCATATCCAAAATTTAAATGATTTATAAAAAAAATGGAAAATGATGATTGAAAATTTAACAAAATTGGTTTTATCTGATCACCGAGAAGGGGGTGGGGGATGTCAGTATTGCCCACTGCATTGCAAAAAGTGACCGATATGGAAACATGGAAAGACATGTTATAGATATGCATTATCATACCCAAATTTAAAATTGGGAATGTTGAAAAGCACTCTAGCGGGGAGTCACACAAACATATACATGTAATGAAGAAAATGAAGCAATGGAACAAATCAATTTCCGGCTATATCATATGAAAACGGGAATCACAAAGATAACTAATGTGGTCTGAACTCCAGTCCCATGCACACAGAACCGTACCAAACACGTCCACGCGTCAAACCGGGTCACTGCTTTAGATCCACAATTATGACTTCTTGGGCATAGGTCATTAATCAAGACTTTATTCATTTTTCTTATTTCGGAATGTTTCTAGAAGTAATGGGAATTCCATTTCAACTCAAACACCCTTTCTTGCGCACGAACTCTCATATCAGTGTATAGGATAGACATACATAGCTTACTGATCAGTGACACATTACATTTTCTATAGCAACACGGTACACATACACACAATACAAATTGATACATTTATTTATTACAAAAAGAGCCATATACACGCTATAAATCTGTTGACTTGATATAAAATGTTGTCTTACTATGGTTGTGATTGTTAACTATATACAGTGTTGATACATGATTTTGACCTCGATTGCGGTCTTTCGAACGAGTTTCTTTCCTCCAAAACCTTCAGTACCGTTGGTATTTTATAGAATCCAAAAATATACAATAAAAAATGAAAGCAACACGATGTTAACTAACGGGAACTTTAAAAAAGTGGTATAATGATATTTTTAAGCTGGTGATGTTCCACCTCCTTTCTTTGCTCCAACTATGAGAAGAATTCCACCAATCACCGCTAGTATTAACGCTATGATAGCCAGTCCAAATGAGTAACCAAGATCAGGGTTCAAATTGGACAATTTGTAGGTGTTATCAAAGCGAGCACCAAATATAATAACACTAATCAAATAACACCCACCTGAAAAATAAAAACAGGTACTGGATTACATTATTTTTTGTTCCATACTGTCGAAATGGCATAGGACGATGTTGTTGTTTTTTTAACTTTATATAAGTAGTGAGTCTATGGCAAATATATTTGTTTTAAAAAAAGAAAAGAAATGTACATTTGTGACGTATCATAAACACACCTATTACCTTAATAAGAGAGTCAATCTATGTATAATTAGCCTGACTCATAAGATACATTGTCTTTTATAAAACTTATACAAGTGCACAATTATTTAAACATACATACATCTTTTATAAATCTTTTACAATACTTATATATAAGTGCACACATGGCGTACACATGCATCTTTTTATAAAATTTTACATATACATGCATCATTTATAAAAGTTTTATAAAACTTATACAAATGCAGACGTTGCATACACATGTGCATGCATCATTTATATAGATGTATCTTTTATTGGTGATCTGGGTGACAGAGGTTGTCTACGTCGATTGGCTTGAGAAATGTATCTAATCTTACCAGCGATGAAACAGATGATGGCAGACGCCAATCCAGCTTCTTCATTTTTCTTACATTGGGATACGAAAATGCTAAGAACCACCAACAAACAGGCAATATTTATTCCCATAAAAGCAAATATTGCAAATGCCTGGAAGGCTCCATACCAATCTGTTTAAAAAAAGTAAAAATAAATTAGAATACATTTTTATTACAAACTAATTTATTTATACTGAATTGTGCATCGGATAGGGTGTCCCATAAACGATCACATTACTTTGATCATTGTAATTTGATCTGGGATTCTAGGGAATAGCCGTGGGTCACTTGTCTTACTTTGGTCATTGTAATGGGTCTGGGATTCTGGAGAATAACTCTAGGTTACTTGTCTTACTTTGGTCATTGTAAATTGATCTGGGATTTTGGGGAATAGTGTAGTCACTTGATTTACTTTGGTCAGTGTAATTGCTATGGAATTCTAGGGAATAGTGTGAGTTACTTGTCTAAATAGGTATTTGGCACAAGTGTCACACGGTGTGGGATTAACCTATCCTAACTGAACAATTTGAGTGTGTACTACTCAACAACTCATCCACATTTCTTTCACATAAATTAGCCCGTGTGGTCGTGGTGGGGATATTTGTTAATGCCCGAACCATGCCGCAGATCATAACAAACATTGTCAAATGTTCATTGCACATCAGCGTTGTAAATCAGTCCCTTTTGTTTGCTGAAATTTGCAGAAATCTCAATCAAACACAAACACACACCCACACACCAACACACACACTTTGACGGCATATTAGATTCAAAATTCTAACGTGCTATCTCGTCTAATTTCTAACTTCTATTCATGTAATTTTATCCAACTTCTTTATTTGTTCAGTGTATATTTTAATTCTACTTTATCTTATTTCTATTATTAAGACGAAAAACGTCTTCTTCGTTGAGGCTTTTACACGTTAGCATGAACATCGACGAATTTAGAAGTTTTACTCTTCTGCCTAGTAACCATCATTATGAAGTCGTCACTGCGTGCTCATTTGGGATTGGGCACCTGACCTGGGCCATTATGTTGATATAAAGAGAGAGAGAGAGAGAGAGGGGGGGTCATTTTGGGACTAACATATGGTTCAATTTTATTTCAATAACTCGCTTGTGCGTAGGGGTCTAGCAGTTGGAGGAAACCGGGGGACCCAGAGAAAACCCACGAGGTTGGACAGGCGACCCTACTCACTGTCATGTACACCCGGTTGAATCGGTGCCACGGTCTAATTTTATTCCGAATTACAGTTGCCAAGGGTTTTCGTATGATCCGAACGACTAGACACTGCCCCTGCCTACAATAACGACAGCCTCCGCAAATCACAGGATAAATCTTAGTTTTGCCCGTGTGTATACTAGCTGACGATGTTATATTACCCATAGATATATAATATTTCTGTGGTATAACCGATATCTTCCGGCGTGGTTGTCCCTCCCTTGTTATTGATAGAGGACGGGGGTCGGCACGGACAGTGGCTAGTCGTTCGGATGGTATAAAGAGACATTGTTTAGAGCAGTAAAAGAATAAAGACCAACAGCATATAAATATTAATTGACTCAAATGTAAAAAAAAAATCAAATAAAATTCCCCAAATCCTGCACTTAACTGTCTTAAAAGAAATGAACAAATGCTGTTTAGCTTATATTTGAAGTAGTATTTGCAAACCATACCACGTTCGATGTTGTTTTCAATTTTAATACCCCACCAAACCATTCAACCTGACGAAGAGCGGGTCGTTTGTACTAACATAATGGTCCCGATCAGGTGCCCAATCGCCAAATTGAGCACACGGGGGCGACACCAAACGACGTCATAATGATGGTCGCTAGGTAAAAGTATCAAAATTCTAAATTTGTTCAACGTTCATGATTAACATGTAAAGCGACAATGAAGTAGACATTTTTCGTCTTAATAATAGAAATAAGTTGAAACAAAATTAAAATTTACACTGAACAAATAAAGAAGTTGGATTATACATTGTCTTAATTTAGAAATTACATGAATAGACGTTAGAAATTACATGAAAAGAAGTTGGAAATTAGACGATAGAATGTTAGAATTTTGAATCTAATATACCGCCATAACACACACACACACACACCCACACAAACACAAAATACGGCATTATCGAACTCATTGTACAATATTATTTCAATTCACAGTACATACCACTTTTATATGGTCATTGTATGT